CTGGCTTCTGCTTTCTTGGCCCCGGCATGGGCGGTGACGAACTTGTCGACCATTTGTTTGAACGTCATTATGGAACGTGCTAGTAATTGTGAGTACTATGTTAGGGCTCCCCCTGTTAGGGTTTCGCTGAACTTCTTCAGTAGCACCGACGGTATCTGCTCTTTCGAGAGGTCGTTGCCTCTTACCGCAGTGATGTAATGAATGATATGGTCCGTTGTGCCGTCATATATTTTCAGATATGGTGGCATTTTGAAAGTTTTGGGTATGGCATATGGGGCTGCCTCCTTGCTGTATGGACGTTCCACGAATCGGCCGACGTCCCGTTTTGGCGGGAGTTTCGGGGTTCCTCGTATCTTATCAACTCTTTCATGGTGCTCCCTCATTTGGTCGCGAAGCACTTTACTCTCATTCTCCATTTTTTCCATTTTCTTTAGAACAGCTAAAAATGGCGTCGTTACCTGCATCAACAACGGTGTGGGGGTTACCTGTTGGGGGAGGAGCGTGTTGCTCATTGATGGTTATTGGGGTGTCAACTTGTGTGGTGTTCCTACTTACTCCCTGAGCGGTTTTATCGAGTATACTGCTTAGGGTACTTGTCAGCCACGCCTCCAATAACTTATTCACTGCGTGCGACACTTTTTCCGTCGCGGACGAGGAGGCTCCCTTGTCATGTGAAGCGGTTACACTCCAATGAGGAGGGGGTGAATCTCTTTGCCTGGGTGAGGCGCTCGGCGTCACATTCTTCTCGTCTTCCCTATCCACCTCGTTGATGGTGCCTAGGAGATTGGTAGTGACACCCATCACTGCTTTCACTCTTTCCTCTCCCTTTCTTGCCATTGTTAGCTTATGCAAGCAAGAAAAAAGGGAGCTTTTGTTGTTGTTATTTATTTGGATCTAGAAGAAACTAAACTTTTTAACTAGGATCTCCCCACAGACAGCGCCAAATTGTTTGACCGGGAAGATTTAAACCCTTTTAGTTAAACAAATTTAATAAATAAATATGGGGTGAATCCAAGTTAAAAGTAATAAATTCTATATCCGAAATTAATCAATTTGGATGGTATGAGTATGTGTCCAAGTTAACAAATACTGAGTTAATGCTCGATGACCAGTAGTTAATGCGAGGACGAAAACATACAATAAATGTGATAAATGGCATTAAATGTAATAAGATAAAATTTGTCACCCAAAAGTTGGATGATATGGATGATTCCTTCTTCTGACTACAACGTGTGACAGCAGACAAATGAAGTGGACTATGTGTTCTTAGATTTTGTGAGCTAAAGAGGAATATTGTATGGTGGAACCAAACAAGAGAGACAAAACCAGCTTTTGTATATTCCAATAGTCAACTCTTTACAAGGTGTTCTTTCATAAAAGTTCCGATCCCCTTTCTGTTTTCTCTCTCTTTCTATTTATAAGGGATCTCCCTAGAAAACCCTGAAGAAGTACAACATCGGGGAATATTCAATAGAATATTCTTATTCATAGTCCCAGGAACATTCTAACAGTTGAAGCCATTTGCCCTCTGCTCAACCTCGACACCGGCCTCTCCCTTTGAGCGACTCCTCGCCACTGGACCGCGCTTGGTTCGGACCTCGGTCTCGGCTTGTCCGTCTGCATTTGATAAACTAGATATAATTTTGATCCATACACTCATGAAGATTTATATAAGGAAAGCTTATGACATGGTGAGCTGGGACTTCCTTGAAAAAGTTGTAGCAGGGTTTGGGTTTCCTGAAAATTCATTAAGTGGATTATGATCTGTGTATCAACAACCAAATTTTCAATCAAGGTGAATGGAGAAGGGCATGGCTATTTTGCAGGGAAGAGAGGACTTAGACAAGTTGTGATAACATCAAGGTCGGGAATCCAAAACAAGAGTAAGAATTTAAGAAGTAAATGCGGAAGCAATAACAATACGAAACTGAAAAACTAGAATTAAAGTGCAGAAAATAAAGGATATGGGAAAATTCAGGGAAAGAATTCCAAGAACTTCCAAGAACGCAAGTTCTATAGCCTTGACAAGATCCAAGCAACAATATTTTGATTTATTGACGAAATAAAACGCCTTTACTTAAGAACAAATCAAAAATAATAGATTCGAATCTTAACCGCTGTACGAGTAACTTGAGAGAATAATTAATAACTAATATTAATCGCCTTCTAAGAATGCCACAAAATAATCAATGATATCACAATAAAGAAGTTATCTTACTACCTTGAACTATGAACTAGTAAAGGTTGAAAGATAAATCTCAAAGCATAAGTAACAAAGGTTCAAAAGTACTCTCAAAGTATAATATTATTAATCAATAATGAAGTACCACAACGAATGAAAAGAACTCCTATTTATAGGAGTAAAAAGTCCTTAAAACTAGGTGGGGTGGCTGCCAAGGCAAACCCTAACTTGGAGGCTAAGCTAAATACTAGAAAACCTAATAAAAGCTAATAAAAATAAGAGGGTGGGCGGCCAAATTCCTTAGGGGCGGATTTGGGCCTTAAACTACTAGTTTGGGCCATTGGTTTGGACTCTAATTGGGCTCCTTTTGAAACACCCCCTTTCAGACCTCTTTTAAGCTCATTTTAAGCTCTTCTGGGTGCCCTTTTGGTGGACTTCAAGGGCTGATGTTGGGACCCAATCTTCCTCCTCTTGGACTTCAATTTGGGCCATCAAATAATTTTAAACTTGGATAATTCATCTCCTTTGGGCTTGAGCTCTTCCTCTATAATTAAAAGCTTCTTTATTTGCCATTAAAGTCCAGCAACCTTAGTTTGCTTCTTTAGCTTGAGATCTTGTAAATGGCCTTCTTGGAGCTTCAAAAACTCTATCATTGTCCTTGATGCTATCATTCCCCTCTTCTTGAAAGAATTCGTCCCCGAATTCGATCCTACATCAAGCAAAGACAAGTCAACAACATTGAATGTAGCACTTACTTGAAACTCACCAGGAAGGTCCAGATTGTAACCATTATCTCCAATCCTTTCAAGGACTTGAAATGGGCCATCTCCTCTAGGATGCAACTTTGACTTCCTTTTGGAAGAAAATCTCTCCTTCCTAAAGTGAACCCAAACTAAGTCCCCAGGTTGAAAAACAACTTGTTTTCGACCCTTATTCTTTTTCAAGGCAGTTTGCTCATTTTTCTTCTCAATTGCAAGCCTTGTTTGCTCATGATTTTTTTTCATCATTTCAGCCTTTGTTCTACCATCAAGATTAGCAATATCATTAGAGGTAATGGTAATAAATCAAGGGGAGTAAAGGGATTAAAATCATAAACAACCTCAAAAGGAGACATACCTGTAGAAGAATGGATTGTTCTATTGTAAGCAAATTCAATCATAGGTAAGTGATCTTCCCTAGAAGTTAATTTACCTTCAAAACAGCCCTCAACATGTGTTCCTAATATTCTATTAACTACTTCAGTTTGTACCTCAGTTTGTGGGTGACAAGAAGTAGAAAACAACAATTTAGTCCCTAACTTCCCCCAAAATACACGCCAAAAGTGGCTCAAAAACTTAGCTTCCCTATCACTAACAATAGTTCTAGGTATACCATGCAATTCAACAACTTCTTTACAAATAGATCAGCAACATGTGAAGCATCATTAGTCTTTAAACAAGGAATAAAACGAGCCATTTTGGAGAACCTACCACAACAAATATACTATCCTTACCATACCTTGTTCTAGGCAAACCTAACACAAAATCTACAGAAATATCAATCCAAGGTGAAGTAGGAACAGGAAATGTCGCGTGAAAACCATGTGGTAACACTTTAGATTTAGCTTGTTTACATTCCAAATATTATGCACACACTCTTTCAACATCTTTTCTCATGCCAGGCCAAAAGAAATTTTCAGCAAGTATGTCTAGTGTCTTTGGGACTCCAAAGTGACCCATAAGGCCTCCACAATGTGCTTCCCTTAAAAATACTTCACGTAAAGAGCAATTAGGAATACACAACTTATTTTCCTTAAAAAGAAACCCATCTTGAAGATTAAACCTCTCTAAAGGACCCAACTTACAATCTGCAAAAATCTTGCCAAAATCAACATCATTAGCATAAAGTCCCTTGATTTGATCAAAACCCATCAATTTAGAAGTCAGAGTAGTAACTATGACATACCTTCTTGAAAGTGCATCAGCAACGACATTCTCTTTCTTTTGTTTGTAAGAAATTACATAAGGAAAAGTTTCAATGAATTCAACCCACTTAGCATTCCTCCTACTAAGCTTACCTTGACTCTTCAAGTACTTCAACGATTCATGATCAATTTTAATGACAAACTCTCTTGGCCACAAGTAATGTTGCCATGTGGCTAAATCCCTTACCAAAGCATATAGCTCTTTGTCATAAGTGGAATAGTTCAATGTGGCTCCACTCAACTTCTCACTAAAGTAGGTAATAGGTTTAGAATCTTGCATCAAAACAACACTTATTCCTTTGCCAGAAACATCACATTCAAATTCAAAAGATTTAGAGAAATCAGGCAATTGTAACAAAGGAGCAGAACATAACTTTTCTTCAACAAGTTAAAAGCATCATCTTGTTCTTTTTCCCATGTAAAAATCTTATCCCTTTTAATAACTTCAGTTAAAGAAGAAGCAATGGTGCTAAAGTCTCTCAGAAACCTCCTATAAAAACTAGCAAGTCCATGAAAACTCCTAACTTCAGTTACACTCTTAGGTTTAGGCCATTCCTTTATTGCCTTGATTTTCTCTTCATCAACCTCAACTCCTTTAGAACTAACTACAAAACCCAAGAAAATCACACAATCCACAAAAAAAGTACACTATTTAAGATTAGCAAATAAAAGTTGCTTTCTTAGAACTTCAAAAACTTATTTTAGGTGTTCTACATGCTCCTCTAAAGTGTTAGAAAAGATTAAGATATCATCAAAGTACACCACAACAAATTTCCCATGAAAATTCTTAAAGATATGATTCATTAATCTCATGAAAGTTCTAGGTGCATTAGTCAAGCCAAAAGGCATAACTAATCACTCATAAAGCCCATATTTGGTCTTAAAAGCAGTTTTCCATTCATCTCCAGGATTCATTCGAATCTGATGGTAACCACTTTTTAGATCAATTTTAGAAAAGATTTTGGATCCATATAATTGATCCAACATGTCATCAAGACGGGGAATAGGATGGCGATACTTTACCATTATCTTTTTGATTGCTCTACAATTCACGCACATCCTCCAAGTTCCATCCTTTTTGGGTACCAATGGGACGGGAACAGAGCAAGGGCTCATGCTCTCTCTCACAAAGCCTTTCTCAAGCAACTCCTCAACTTGCCTTTGAAGCTCCTTTGTCTCTTCTGGATTACTCCTATAAGCAGGCCTATTTTGGATTTGTGATCCAGGAACAAAATCAAGATGCTCAATGCCACGTAAAGGTGGCAATCCATTAGGAATATCTTCAGGAAAGACATATTCAAAATCCTGCAAAAGAGAAGAAATACTACTTGGCAAAGAAGAAGTTAGTAACTCAGAATTAGTCAAAGCTTCTTTGTAAGTAAGTAGTATTATGGGCAACCCCTCTTTTCTTGCATTTAAACACTCTTTGGCTTTTATATAGAAACTCTCTTTTTTCCTTTCCTTAGCCTTTCCCCTCACCAAGACCTTCTATTTTTTCACTCAAACCCCTCTTTATTTCTTCTGTCAAATTACTACCCTCTCTCTCTTTCTCTCGGCCATCTCTCTTTTTTCTAACTCTTGGCCTCCTTTCTTTTCTTTTCTCTCAAGCTCACTTTTTATCCTTCCCCTTGGTTTTCCCATTGTTTCCCTTAATCTCTTCTGATATTCAAACACTTGAGAAGGAGATAAAGGTGCAAGAGTAAATTTCCTGCCATTAAGCTCAAGAGAATATCTATTCTTCCTTCCATCATGAACAACATTCCTATCATACTGCCAAGGACGACCCAGTAATATATGACAAGCTTGCATAGGGATTATGTCACAAAGAATATCATCCTCATATCTACCAACATTGAATGAAATCATACATTGTTTGTTTACCTTTAGTTCACCACTATCATTTAACCATTGGAGTCTATAGGGAGTAGGGTGTTTCATGCATGCAAGTCCTAGTTTTTCCATAAAGTATGAACTCACCACATTAGCACAATTACCACTATCAATGATCACAGAACACGTTTTCCCTTTTATCCCACACCTAGTATGAAATATATTCTTCCTTTGTTCTTCACTATTGCTTCCCAAATAGATAGTCATAATCCTCCTAACTACCCCAATGCCATCATTAAAAGGTAGTTCTACTCCATCTTCATCTTTACTCACACCTCTCTCCTCTTTCTCACATTTATTACTCTCGTATTCTCCACTCATAATCTTCCTAGCCACCCCAATCATACTAGTATGAGACAGTTCTACATCGTCTTCATCACTTACATCTCCCTTTTCTTCTTCTCCCTCACTTTTTTCACTCTCATATCCCCCATCTTCTCTAAGAATGATGTTTCTTCTACTTGGACATTCATGTATCATATGTCCCCTTCCTTTACATTTATGACATTGAATAGAACTAGAAGGTGTAGAAGGTTTAGGGTTAAAAGTTTTACCTCCCTCTTTGTTCTCAAATTTTCCTTTACCCTTGTCTTCTTGAGGTCTAGAAGAACTCTGCATCTCCTGATTCGGCCATGGCTTCTTGGAGATGGTGTTTGACCGACCTTTCCACGAGCTAGTTTGCTTTCTTTTATTTTTCTTTTCTAGCTTTACAAACAAATCAACTAGCTCATCTATTGTTACATATTGTTTTAATTCTACTTCATCAGTTATTTCCTTATTGAAACCATTTAAAAACCTAGCCATTGTAGCCTGTTTATCCTCCATACAGTTAACTTGGATCATAGCCTATCCATAGCCTTAAAGTATTCATCCACGGACATGGACCCTTGCTTCAATGTTTGAAGACGTTGTTGTAGCTCTCTTTGAAAGTGTGATGGCACAAATATCTTCCTCATCACCCTCTTCATCTCAGCCCAAGTAGCAATTGGTTCTTGTCCTTCTTGCGATCTATCCCTAGTAAGTTTTTTCCACCAAATAGCAGCATAGTCAGATTACTCAACAACAGCAGGTTTAACCTTCTTACCTTCAGAGTAGTTGTGACATTCAAAGATGGCTTCAACCTTTCTCTCCCAATCAAGATACAAGTCTGGATCCCTTGTTCCCTTGAAAGATGGCATCTTCAACTATATACTACTTATATTGTCATCTTCTACTCTACCTCTTTGTCCCCTCCTATCTCTTCCCACCCTATCAAAATTAATATCATTAAATTCATCTATAGGGTTTTCTTGATTTACAATGGGAGCAAGGGGTACATTTCTCCTAGCTGGGGCCTAACATTATTTCCCCTCCTAAGTTCAGCTATTATATCATTTAACAATGGTTTCCCTCATTTCTTGGAATTGCAAATTCCACCTTTCGAATTGTTGATGCATAGCTTGCAAGGTAAAATCATTTCTTGCTTTGATTTCGGCTTCTTGGAGAACCCTTTGTTCATCATCACTACCTGTACGCGAAATCTTAAAAGAAATAATTAAATTTTATCCCACAAATTGGCTTTTCCCTCAATTGTTTTCACACACACTTGCCTTGTTCCTCTCGAAATAACCTTTGAACAAAACACTTTGTAGATTTATAGTTAAACCGAACTCGTATGAAGTTCTTAGTAGTAAAATATAGATTTTTGGGGAACGAATGAAAGAAGAACCAAATCCTAGAACTGGTAGGCTCGGTTGAAACAAGACACGAACAAAAAGGAAAGGACTATATATTTAGATCAGAAAGAGTAAGAAAAATTGATTTTTCTTATCTTTGAAATCTAGGATCCCCTCTTCTTGTTTCCTTTGTTAATTGTTTGAAACAAATTAAATACAAAAGATATTTCTTGGAGAGCAAGCAATTCTTTTCTTTTTTTAACTGATTTTCTTTTCTTTTTTTTTTTTGCTCTTTTTTAACTTCTTTTTTTTTCAGGTTACTATTCACGACGCTACAGTAACATTTTTTCTTTCTTTTTCTTTTTGCTCGTAGATTTTCCAGACCCCACTAATAGAATTTTACTGGGTATGTTGTTGTTGTTGTTGTAGTACTCAAGAAATCCCAAGAATTATCAAGAATGAAATCTGGATAGAACCGCTCTGATACCACTTGATAATAGCAAGGTCGGGAATCCAAAACTAGATTAAGAATTTAAGAAGTAAATGCAGAAGCAATAACAATACGAAACTGAACGACTAGAATTAAAGTGCAGCAAATAAAGGATATGGGAAAATTCAGGGAAAGAATTCCAAGAACTTCCGAGAACGCAAGTTCTATAGCCTTGAAAGATGCAAGCAACAACATTTTGATTTATTGAAGAAATCAAACGCCTTTACTTAAGAACAAATCAACAATAATAGATTCGGATCTTGATCGCTTTACGAGTAACTTGAGACAACAATTAATACCTAATATTAATCGCCTTCTAAGAATACCACAAAGGAATCAATGATATAACAATAATGAAGTTATCTTACTACCTTGAACTATGAACTAGTAAACGTTGAAAGATAAATCTTAAAGCATAAGTAACAAAGGTTCAAAAGAACTCTCAAAGTATAATATTATTAATCAATAATGAAGTACCACAATGAATGAAAAGAACTCCTATTTATAGGAGTAAAAAGTCCTTAAAACTAGGTAGGGTGGCTGCCAAGGCAAACCCTAACTTGGAGACTAAGCTAAATACTAGAAAACCTAATAAAAGCTAACAAAAATAAGAGGGTGGGTTGCCAAATCCCTTAGGGGCAGATTTGGGCCTTAAAACTACTAGTTTGGGCCATTGGTTTGGGCTCTAATTGGGCTCCTTTTGAAACACCCCCTTTCGGACCTCTTAAGCTCATTTTAAGCTCTTCCGGGTGCCCTTTTGGTGGACTTCAAGGGCTGATGTTGGGACCCAATCTTCCTCCTCTTGGACTTCAATTTGGGCTACCAAACAATTGTAAAACTTGGACAACTCATCTCCTTTGGGCTTGAGCTCTTCCTCTACAATTAAAAGCTTCTTTATTTGTCATTGAAGTCCAGCAACCTTAGTCTGCAATTCTTTAGCTTGAGATCTTGCAAATGGCCTTCTTGGAGCTTCCAAAACTCTATCATTGTCCTTGATGCTATCAAGTTGATCCTGTCTCACCTATGTTGTTTGTCCTAGTGATGGAGTATTTGTTCAGAATATTAAAGACTGTCAGTATGTTACCCGATTTCAAGTTTCATCATGTGTGCAAGACATTGAAGCTAACTCATCTCATCTTTGTAATCTGAGATCTTCTACAAAGGCGATGTGAAATCAGTTAATTGAGTCATGAAGGCTTTGGACAATTTCAGTAAAGTCACATGTTTAATAGCTAATACGGAAAATCAAGTATTTTCTTAGCTGGAGTGGATGACAATACTAGGGATCAACTGCTGGCAAGGACTGGATTCACATTCGGTACCTTTCCTATCAGGTATCTAGATTGCCTCTCTCACCCCAAGAAATGGAACAAGTTAGACTGTTATCTGTTGGTGGAGAAAATTACTAGAAGAATTACTGTCACCTATTCAAAGCATCTGTCTTATGCTGGCAGACTGCAGGTGATCAATCCAGTCCTTTTTTCTACTCACAGTTTCTGGGGGCAGTATTCATTTTGCCTCAAAGTGTTCTAAAGGAGGTTGATAAAATATGCAGGGACTATTTTTGGGGAGAGTTTGAGGAGAAAAAGAAGGTGTCATTGATTTCTTGGGAAAACATCTACTACCCTAAGAAGCTAGGTGGACTGAATATAAAGGGCAGTAGAAACTGGAATGTAGTCTCAGTAGGAAAGTTGATATGACAACTACTCAATTGCAAAGAATCATTATGGACTGGAAGAAACTTAATTCCATTAAAGTTCAGATGCAGAGATGGTATCAACAAGACAAATATAAGCTCACATTAAGTGGTAAATACTCAATAACTAGAAGTTACCTTACAATTGTAGGACTTCATCCAAAGCTAGAGACAACTGAGCTAATTTGGACTGCGTTGGCTCAACCAAAGTAAAGATTCATCTTGTGGCTGGCAACATAAGGGAGGCTACTTACTAAGGAGAGGCTAAGTTACATATAGCAGTGGCTGATGAAAACTGTTGTATGTGTGATATACAAGCCAAGGAAACAATTGATCATTTGTTTGAAGAATGTGAATGGTTTAGAACAATAAGACAAGAAATCTTCCAATGGATAGGGTGTGACGACCCGGCCCATCGTCACGTGAGTTACCGTCCCGTTTTCCCCATTTTTCTGCTTCCTTATGTTTTATTATAGAAGTCTTGAGTGAATGAGTCGATTTGGATTGGTTTCGGATGGAAATGAGACATATAGTCTCTTTAAGGAAGGCTTGTATTGGAAAAGTCAACCGGATGTTGACTTGTGAGTTAGAGGGCTCGGATGTGATTTCCGATGATTTGGTTAGCTTTGGGGGATGATTTGTGACTTAGGAGTGTGATCGGAATTGATTTTGGAGGTCCGGTGTAGAATTAGGCTTTAATTGGCGAAGTTAGTATTTTGGCGAATCCCGGTTGATAGGTGAGATTTTGATCTGAGGGTCGGAATGGGATTCTGAGAGTTCTTGTAGCTTCGTTAGGTGATTTTAGATGTGTGTGCAAAATTTCAGATCATTCAGAGGTGTTTTGGTCAGGTTTTTGAGCAAATGCGTAATTCGGAAGTTTTAGAAGAACTTAGGCTTGAATGCGATGTAATTTGATAGTTTTGGTGTTAATTGTGGTGTTTTAATGATTGGAACAAGTTGGAATGATGTTTTAGGATGGGTTGGCACTTTTAGTTGAGGTCCCGGGGGCCTCGGGGTGATTTCGGATGGCCATCGGGATGAAATTTGGACTTATGAGATTGCTGTGTATCTGGCTTCTGGTATTTCCGCATCTGCGGAAAAGGAATTGCAGATGCGGTTGCGCAGGTGCGGAAGAAGGCTCGCAGGTGCGGTCATTTGGCCAGGATGGAAGATTGCGCAGATGCGGAAGGGGAGCCGCATCTGTGATACCGCAGATGCGGTAGAAGAGTCGTAGGTGCGAAAGGGTGAAGCCATGGTGTTTCCGCAGAAGCGGACAATTATCCGCAGAAGCGAGGTCTGCAAATGCGGATAGAGGACCGCAGAAGGGATCGTGGCTTAATGAGGATCCGCAGAAGCGGAGGTATAACCGCAGAAGCGGTAGCCGCAAATGCGGTAAAGGAACCGCAGATGCGAAAATCACTATTCAGAGAAGGGTTTTAAAGCTCATTTTGTTCCGCGAGCTTAAGTTCATTTCCACCATTTTTGATCGACCTTGAGAGCTCTTGGACGAAAATTGAAGGGGATTTCGACTAGGTGTGATTGGAGGTGAGTTCCTTGACCTAAATACGTGATTTAATGGTAGAATTAACGTGGAAATTTGTGGAAATTCATCAAAAGAGGGTAAAGCTAGGGCTTGGAAATTTGGTATTTCAAAGTGGAATTTGAGGGGTAATGGACTCCGATTTTGGTAATTTTGATATTTATAGACTCGTGGCGAGATAAGGAATCGGATGATGTTAATTTTCTGATTTTTCGAGAAGTGGGCCCGGGGCTCGGGTTTTGCCAATTTCATAAATTTCGATATTTTTCGAGTCTTTTCGATTGGGTTATGTTACCTTAGCCTATTTTAACGTATTCGTTGTGGTTTTGACCAGATTCGACGCGCGAGGAGGTCGATTTGTGAGGCAAGGGCATAGCGAGCTAGGATTTTGGCCGGCTTTAGGTGAGTAATGATAGTAAATTA